CTTTTTTCCCCCTTTGGCCTTCTAGATTATTATCGATTCCCTCCTCCCCTTACTTACTAGCTTCCTTTCGATTGCTATTTGTCTGAGCTGAGTCAGTGTTGCTGTGTCTTCTTTCATTTCTCTCTAGGAATTTGTTTACGTCAGTGAGACATGCAAGAAGTTATATTTGCAAACTTACTTTCCTGCCGGTCACTGAGGATGCATCCTAGGCTGCTTTTCTTGAGTAGCAGACACTGCTCAGAATTCTGAGGAAAATTCTTGATTAGCTCTTCTGATAGCGGAGGATGTGAATCTGAGTACTAACTGCTGTAGACAGAATTTATGTCCCCTTCCCGCCCTCCAGCTCCGTATGTTGAAGCCTTAACTCCCAATGTGATGGTATTAGGAGGTGGGGCCTTTGGGAGGTGATTAGTTGTAGGTGAGGGTGAAGGTGGAGCCCCCACATGGTGAGACTAGTGCCCTTAGAAGAGGAAGGGATTAGAACCCTCTTTCTCTCTCTGTCCTCACATGGCAGAGACAGCAGCTGTCCACAAGCCAGGAAAAGGGTTCTCACTGCAACCCAACCCTGTTGGCCCCCTGATCTTGGACTTAGAGCGTCCAGACTATGAGAAATCAGTTTCTGTTTAAGCCATCCAGACTCTGGTGTGTGTGTGCATGTGGCATGAACTAAGGCATTAACTAAGTCAAGCACTGGCCAGGGAATTAAAGCACCCATCCTTAGCCCACCGGGCATCCCATTTGAGACCAGAGGTTTGTGTGGACAATACCCTGCATTATAAGGGCTGGCAGAATTTCCAACTTCAAATTCTTTCTTGAGGCACATGTGAAGCTTAAGCAATTCATTGTCGAGACAGCTTCAACCTAGCCTGGGTTCCGGCTATCTTCAGTGGCTGACGTTACACCTGCGCCATGTGACCTCCTCAGCTCAGTTGCTGTTGTTTTTAATCTAAGGAAAGCCCATTAAAGGAAGCATCAGGGTATGCGTGCAGGCCAAGGGAAAACCACAAATCATAACATGCTCCCCGAGGTGTGTGCGTGAACTGAAAAAGGGAGTATCTTACATGTTAATAGGAGCTTAGAGTAGGGCTGCCAGATAAAACGGCAGGATTGCCAGTTACATCTGAATTGCAGATAAGCAATGAATCTTTTTTAAGTATAAGTGTGTTCCATTGGGTGTCTGGTGTTCGGTCTTTGAGCCTTACTGCTCCACGTGTGGCCCCAGAATCTGCAACAACTCCATGTTCTGGAAGTTTGTTAGAAAAGCAGAATCTTAGGCCCCATCCCAGACTTACTGAGCCGGAATCTGCACTTTTCACAAGCTCCCCAAGACTGTAGCCTGCACATTAACATTTGGGAAGTGCTGTTTCAGAATTCACAGCCTATTTTCATAGACATGATCGCATTGGTCTTTAAATTGTCCTGGGAGATCGGCAAGGGAAAGGGAAGCAGCGAAGAGCTTCTTCTCACAACCAGTCTTTTTGATGGACCGGAGACCTCAGTGCTCACAGGTCATCAGCATACACACAATTTCCCCCCTCGAAGGGCATAGCCTCTTCCTTCTGCCTCCCCTCCTGTTTCCAGACCTGCTTAGCCCCTGAAGCAGGTGAGATCTGCCAGCAAGGGCTGACGGTGGGAGCAGGAAGTTGAGGGCGGGTCCTTATTCTAGAGGAGCCTCTGCTCCCAGACCCTTGACCCTCTCCACACAGCATGTTCACCCAGCGGCCACCATAGCAGCCACCTCTACGGGTATCCTGCTCTTTCTGTTTAAAGTCATCATCAGTGTCAACTGGAGCCATTCATTTAGTCACAGCTCTTTGGGAAAAGACGATACATTGGAAGAAATGGACATATCCCTGGTAGGAGTCATTTTGATTTCAGATATGTTAACACGTGAAAGAGGTATGCTCCTGAATCCAGGAAGTATGGTAACGAGCTGTGGGGTAGCGTTCAGAAAATAGCAGGGACAAATACGGGTGTTGGAAGACAAGCCAGATCAAATGCTTAGGTGGGAGGAAAGGGCATTGCGAGTGGGTGTGCATGGAAGAATGTGGCTGCAGGAGTTGGATGGATAAAACATAAAGGGAGGGGCGCCTGGGTGGCTCAGTTGGTTAAGCGACTGCCTTCGGCTCAGGTCATGATCCTGGAGTCCTGGGATCGAGTCCCACATCGGGCTCCCTGCTCGGCGGGGAGCCTGCTTCTCCCTCTGACCCTCCTCCCTCTCATGCTCTCTGTCTCTCATTCTCTCTCTCTCAAATAAATAAATAAAATCTTAAAAAAAAAACAAAACATAAAGGGAGGAAGAAATGTCTAAGCTGTCAGTGGTCTCGTCAAGCAGGCTTGAGTTAGGAACTCCAGACCATGACAAGCTCTATCAGTGCTAATAGGCACCTCTGTTCCACAATGCATTAACCCTGTTGATAGATTTTTTTTTTTTAAATCAAGGTTCTGGTTCTTTGATAAGAATAACCTTTCTTTCTTTCTTTTTTACATGCATCCCAAATTTTTAGAAGGCCTATTATCTGAAAATCCATACTTAAAATGTAAGGAAAAATAGGTTATTACCTGCATTACAAGTGGATTTTAAACTTACAAAATAGTGGAATTGAAAAAAATTTTCTCACGTGTTCCTGGATCAATTAATATTTGGGTGAGAATGAGAGGAAAGCTTCAATTAAATTAATTCAACAAGCCTTTACTGGTTATCTACTTACTATGCTATTAAATATAAAGTTATTAAGATTTCATGGCAGTGGAAGAATTTTAAAAAGAAACTATGAAATTTTAATATAATTTGAGTCGTAAATATTTGACAGCCTCATTAAAAAAAATAGACTGGATTAGATTCTGGAATATCTTTGCAAATGATTTTACTGCATTAAATTTGATAATTTCACCACCTGCATAAATTCCCCTAATGGGCTCCCATTGACCTTGGATAAAAATCAAATCTGGTCCCTAAGTACTGATCTGGGTGGTTCTTCACCTACACTGTCCTTTCCCAAGCCTACAGTGCAACAATATTGCCCTTGCAGTCCCCTCTCCTGCCACTGTGCTTTTCATTGGTTGACAGACATCACCACTATCATAGAGTACTTAAATCACGGAGTCTTGCAGAGTGCCTGGGCAGAGGGAGTGCTTAATAACATTGCTGATGGATGGAGGGACTGAATGAATGAATGTAGGTCCATTAAATCTTTTATAGAGCTAAGGATTTGTTTCATTTGTTCTCCTAACCGGGGGAGAAAAATATTTAGCAGCCATTTGTTTTAGAGGCAGGAGGATGTTGACGTAAAAGAATACTGGGCTAGGACTTGGGATATTTCCAGCTTTCACCCTTGCTAGTTGGGCAACCTTGGACTAGTCGTTCACACACCCAGGTTCCTGATCTGCACAGTGTGGAATTTGGCTAAACCCGGTCTCCCCTAGCTCTAGCTTTAATGGCCACCAACTTCTCATTCTTTTTCTTGGTGGAGTGTATGTAGTCCCCTCCCCGATCCCTTCCTGCAACATTTCTTTATCTTTCCTTTTGTGTATGCACTAATAGCCAGCAACCTGTGTAACCCTGGGAATGTAGTTCAAATCACAGCCTTCATTTCAGCCAAGGCTGAAAGGTAAACACAGATGGGTAACAGAGCAGCTCAGAAAATCAACCACTTTATTCATGAGGCCATCTGGTCATCCTTTACAGTGTCTTTCTGTACAATCATTAGGAAAAGACACATTGGAAGCTGTTAAATTTCACAGCTGAATTTGCTGGCCAAAGGTCTCCTTTCTACAAGGCTGGACCCTGATAAATGACTAAGCATTTTTGAGGGGCGTGTTGTTGATATGACAAATATCTGTCTTCCCTCATGATCTAAGATTTGGACATTGATACTCTGGAGCAACCTGAAATGACTACAGCTCTTTCTATAGCTGTCTTGTTTATGCCTTGCTAAGCATACTGGGGAGCCAGTATGGCTAATAATATCATTACCAATAGATGCTAAAACATTCAACTCAGCAGTGTGAGAAATACCTAATGAGCACCTCACTTGCACCCCTGCTTAGCTTCTGCAGTTTCTTCTGAACTTAATATCCATGGATCTTCCTGTTTCTTTTTGATCACAGCGGCTTCATCTGCTTGAAAACGCCCACTAAGGCCCAGAACAGAACCCCCACCCCCGCGCCCTTAACTTCTGCACCTGCTGGTCAATCCCCAAAGACTCCTTGAGTCCAATTTACCAGCTGCTCTGCCCACCTGCATCCCCACTGAGGCGTGCTTGGGCAGCCTCCTCTGCTGGTGTCCTGCCCTGCTTGCCAGCTCCCAGCCAGTTCTCCTGTCCAACTCCTCCACCCTAGGAAAACTCAGGCCAACCCCATTTCTGGGCTGAATTAAGAAATTCAGAAATTCCACATCAAGTGGTAGCAACCCTGGGCAGCTGAGCAGCAGGATGAAAACAGAGCCATCTCTCATCCGGAGATCCCAGGGGGACTTTTCAAGGCAGGGAACCTATGAGAACACTTTCCCGGTTGTCCCTTGGTCATTTTCTTTTTCCCTTACCCTTCCAATGAGCCCATCAAATACTGTTTTTCTCCAAGGGTGAAAAATATTGCAGCTGAACTTTCACTTCCTGTTTAACTTTTGATGGAAAGAGCAGTGCGCCCTGCACATTTCACTCTGGATAAAAATAGCTCTGCTGTCTTTAAGTCATTAAGCGAACATAAAAGGCGATTTGTGATCTCAGGATATCCGTAACCTGGCATCTGTCACCGTTCCTCCGTTCTCATCTAGAGGCGAGGCATTCAGAACAAGGATTCCACGCTTAATGGTGCCTTGAGAGTAAGTGCTCCCAGGTGCCCATCAAACCTGTCACTCTGAACTGCTGTCGCTAAGTGACAACGTGTCCCTCCACCCTCCGTTGCTTTTTGCATAAACAGGCCCGTAGAGTTGGGCCAGCAGAGACTTCCAGGGCTGGCTGTGCAATGCCCTGACCCTAAGAACGGTGAGTCCCCCTCACCTGGCTTTGCTGTGCCCATTCCAGCACTCCTCTTCGTTGGCTGCACCTGCTGTCATGCTCTCATCCTTGCAGATGGTGTAGGGCAATGCCGACCAGACCTTTTTAGAGAGCTTCAGTTTCTCTTTTATGTCTGTGACCTGATCAAGAAAGCAAGGAAAGAGAGTGAATAGTCTCCCCAGCTGTTGCCCATTTCTACACAAGGACACGACACAGGTGAAGGTTAGAGAATCTGTGATAGGACGAGCACAAACTCTATCAGTTTTAAGAGAGAGACTCCATGCTGCAGGATTTATTGCCCAGGCAAAGCCTCCCTACCTCCTCCCTCAATCTTCCTCTAGCTCCTGGCAGAGAGTTCGCAGGTAATTGGCTTTTGTTTTCCATCTTTTCTGTCCTCCCATGCTTTGAATTAAAAACTTACAAAGCATCTCAATGGCTTCAGGTCCCTCTCTGGCTGGGAAAAATAGGTGTTCCCTATTGCAGATTTCCCTAAATATATTCTTTAGAATTCATTTGCTTGGATGTCAGATAAATGCACAAAAACAATGCACCGAGAGAAAAAATCTTTCCCCAATGGTCTATTTGTTTTCTGTAAGAAATAAATATTGTCACTAATTTGACTGCTGGTAACCTCTGCTCTTAACTGATGGACAAGTCTATACAGTGCACACTTGGATGGTGAGTAGCAAGCCAAACCCACTTAAAAATCTCTACAGCAGAAAGAGAAAAGTCATTCCGAATACAGGTAAGTGTAAAATCCTCAGCCCTATGGATGGTTGGCGGGGAAAAGCTTAGTAACCCCATCTTTAGTGTTTTCAGGCTCAGCACTGACTTTTCACCTGCAGAAAGAGTAGAGACAGGGATTCAGTACCATTTTGGTTCTATAGTTAACATCTAGGTTCATGCAGTCACAACTCTGATTTTCTATTCTATTCCCTATGTGAACATTGGGAACCTATGGATAGTTGAAATGCATCTGTTGTAGGTTGAATTATAATGCCCCACATTCATATGCTGAAGTCCTAACACTCAGTCCCTCAGAATGTGACCTAATTCGGACATAGTTTTTTTTCGTTTGTTTGTTTGTTTTGTTTGTTTGTTTTTTACAGAGGTAAGAAAAGTTAAAATGAGATTATTAGAATGGCCCTAGTCCAAAGGGAAACTTGGGACACAGAGATATGCATAAAGGTAAGAAAATGTAGAGAAAGACCTAGAAAAGATTGTCCCCTCACAGCCTCAGAAAAAACCAATCCTGCTGACATCTTGGTTTAGGACTTCTAGCCTCCAGAGCCATGAGACAATAAATTTCTGTTCTTTAAGTGGTATGTTGATACAGCAGCTTTATCATACCCACAAGGTATTATAGAGGGGACAACCACTGAGACTTACTGGCATTTTGTATTTGAGATCGATAGCCTTTGGAAATAAAGTATTCAGTGTTTACTGTGGATGGAGTATAGAGTTTAGGAAAACAATTCCAAAGATCTTTTGTCAGGTTTAAGAGTAAATACAAAGGAATATGGAACCTCTGTTCCAATCATGTTTCCCAGCAGCTCCAGATTTATATAGTCTTTGGCCCTTGCTTCTCTGTGATTCTGATGATGACAAGAGGCTTCAGTACTGTGAGATGTCTGCTCATCCATACGGCCTGAAGACGATCAGAATGCTGAATTTGAGAATCTGGCACATACCCTTAAATAGAGTGATGTTACTTTTGTTTTAGAGCGTGAAGAGAATCCTTGAGTAATGACATTCCAAGAAGTAGCTTACACAAAACAAATGTTTAGGATGGCGTGAGACCTGCACTCTCTGATTTCCCCCACTGATGCTGACTTTGGTCCATGGGCTACCCTAACCCCTGGCTCTCCTTCTGGCCAATCTGACTGGGTAAGGAGCTTTGCAATGAGAGTTAGTCCTTTTCTACTACTTTGGGCACAGATGTGTGTGTATGTTTTTGTTTTATATTTTTTGCTTGAAAGACATGTAGCCATTTCTATCCAGCTACAGATGGATGCACATTCTGTTTATCAATTATAAAAGAACACAATTCCCAAAAGCCAACTAATAAATGTTGAAAGAATGACAGAAAAATCACCATTCTGCAGCCATCATAGTAATAATTGATTTCAACAAATATTAGCTACAGATGCTGCTGTGGGTTGAATTGCATCCCTCCCAAAAGATGTTGGAGTCCTAACCACAGTACCTGTGAATGTGACTTTATTTGGAAATGGGGTTGTTGCAAAAGATCAGGTTAAAATGGAGTCATTAGGGTGGACTCTACTCCAATATGACTTTGTCCTTATAAAAAGGGGATATTTAGGCACAGAGACAGAAATACATGTGGAGAACACCATGTGAAGATGAAGGCATGGATCAGGAGGATATATTTACAATCCAAGGAACATCAAAGATCGCCAGCAATCCACCAGAAGCTAGGAGAGAGTCAAGGAACAGATTCGCCCTCATAATCCCAGAAGGAACCAACCCCACTGACACTGTGATCTTAGACTTCTAGCCTCCCAATTGTGAGACAGTAAATCTGTCATAAGCAACCCACTTGGTGGTACTTTGTCACAGCAGCCCTCACAAACCAGTATAAATGCAAAAAACGTTGGGTGAAAGTTTGATGGGGCATAGGATGTTTGCACAATCTCAAAGTATTTACCACAGATTCCTCATTATTACAAAAGGAAAACTGGTCACTCTACAGTGCAGAAACTGGGCCAGCCCCCACCTTAACCAGGTGATTGAAGTAGTGGGACAAAGTGATTTAGGGTGCCTCCAGATGTGAGGTGACAAGAAGGACACATCACTTATGTGGCTAAAATTCATAACGCGGATCCAATCATGAGGACACATCAAACAAATGCAATGTCCCAGGTGATGGACATTCTATGAGACAATTGGCTTGTACACTTCAAACATGTCAGTCATAAAAGACAAGGGAAGGCTGAATACTTCTTCCAGATTAAGAGGAATAAGACACATGACATTCAAATGCAGCATATGATTCTGGATTGGGCACTAGGTTGGAAAAATAATTGCCAGAAAGGATATTATGGAGATAGTTGGCAAAATTTGAATATTGACTCTATATTAAATAATACTGTGTTGGTGTTGAATTTTCTGAATATGAACTCATATTGTGGTCATATGGGAGAATGTCATGTTCTTAGGAGATACATGTTGGACTATTTAGAGTTAAAGGGTTATGGTTTCCACAGCTTACTCTAGAATGATTCAGGAATCCTCATCATCATCATCACATAGATGTATAGAGATAGAGCAAGATAGCAAATGTGACAATTTTTTAAAAGATTTATTTATTTATTTGAGAGAGAGAGAAAGAGCACATGCACACATGAGAAGGGGGAGGGGCAGGGGGAGAGAATCTCAAGCAGACTCCCTACTGAGTGCAAAGCCCGATGTAGGGCTCAATCCCATGACCCATGAGATCATGACCTGAGCTGAAACCAAGAGTTGGACGCTCAACTGACTGAGCCACCCAGGTGCCCTGCAAATGTGGCAAATTTTTAATGCTGAATGAATCTAGATGGATGTATACAATTTTTTAAAAATGCAATTTTTCAGTACATTTGAATTTTTTTCAAAATAAAACATGTCAAAAATAAAATCCCTCACTTGATTTGTTCTTCAAGGTGCCACATTGGTGTCCCTCACCTTTGAAACCTGGGCTATCACCCCTAAGCTACTCATTCTCATGGTTCTCAAACACAAACTCCAGGAAAAGAAATAGGCATTGCATATGCATAACTAATCCAGAAAACTGTCACTAGCTTCAGTCCTGAAATACTGTAAGGTGTATTCTGTCCCATAATAAAGTACACCAAGAATTACCATTCTCTTTTCTGCTTATTTAGTGCTAAGATCCTACCTTTACACTGTGGGAATCTAAACCAAAGATATGTATTTTGGGACACAAAGAAAATAAAATAGCATGACATCCCACAGTATCTCCTCTTTTGAGGCTTGCAAAATTTAACTGTGTATGTTGTGCTGCTCATTCTTTAAATCACACTCAAGCATTGTCTCTTTCAAGGAACATTCTCTGCCTTCCCAGTTAGTTAGATTCAACTTTCTGTGTCCACGGTGCCCTGTTCATTATTTTAAGTACTGATTACTCTAAGTTTTTGTAATTGGCTTACTTTTCTGATTCTAAGACCACCTGCTTCTTGATGCAGGGAGAGGGTTCTAACTTGTCATCCTCAGTGCTTAGATGGGCCAGTTGACCAACCACCCCAGTTTGCCTGGGACATGGGGGTTCTAGAACATGCCATATTTTCAGTACTAAAACTGGGAAGTCCCGGCAAACAAGGACAGGTTGGTCACACATACCTTAGCACATGGTAGGAGCCCAATACATGTCGATTGGGAAAATAGATTTAATTGTCCCAATCTATTACAAGGCCACGGACAATCTTGCTAACACAAAATAGGGTGGTCCCACAACAGGCACTCATGTCAGAAGGGCAGGAGGAGTGGTGGGTTGTATCTGGCTAAGTGAGGAGTGTGTGGGTCCCCTCTGAGTCACCACAGGACATCTTATAATCAGGTTGTGTTCACTCTGGTATTTCAGTAGCCAGGCATTTTCACGGTGTGATTGGAGGACATAACAGCAAAGGAACAGCAAGGGGTGCACATGCCATTTTAACATTCTGCATGGAAACATCGGCCAATTCACTTCCAGCCGAGGGGGCCATGCAGACAAGCTGCAAAAAAGGGACCCTATTAGCCACCAGGGAGGCGCATGCCTTTGATTCCAAAGAATATCCATTTGATTGCAGTTTGTTTTTCAGTATCATGCAAGGTTTTTAATCCTTCCACCGTTTAAATATTTTCACATTTTCTCTTATTTTTATCTCTGAACAATGTGTGTGACCACTTCGTGGTAACTCGAGACCTGAGTTGTTTTTAAAATTTTCTTCCTGGAAACCTTAGTGCACACGACAGTGAGCTAAGCTTTATGCTAGCAAGAACTGGTGGTCAGAATGTGTCACTGAAGTACAGTGAATCCTAATTCCTTACTAACGCAGACCTGATGGGTACAGAGGCCTGGGATCAAATAAATAGTTTGCAGCAATGTCTTTCTGCTTCCCACAGGCGCTATTCTAGGACA